CGGCACTCGATACCTTCTGAACTATATTTGAAAATATATAATGCTCTTTTTGAATCACATCTCAGTTATGGTATAAGTGTTTGGGGTGTTGTCCTCAAAGAACGGTCCAATGATAGTCTTTTCATCACACAGAAGCACTGTATAAGGATCCTTTTTGGCGACCTTGACTCATATTTAGATAAACAATCAACATGTGCACGTACTAGACCATACGGTATGCAAAAACTAGACCATAAACACTTCGAAAAGGAGCATACAAAACCCATTTTTAATAGATTAAAAATTCTTACAGCTCAAAACTTGTACAAATATCACTGTATTTTAGAATTCTCTAAGATTATCAAGTACCACTGCCCATACTCTCTTTATGAGGCTATCAACATTTCAAACCGTGCAACGAGTCTAATGGTTATTCTCTTAAATAAATCAAATACCTTTTTGTTTAATGCAGCCAAGCTTTGGAACGCTGTTCATAAAAAAATTTTAACTTCAAGCAATTGCTTAGAAACGTCCATTAGCTTGATAAAACTGAGAACCAAAGCACTATTAATACAAGCACAGGCAGCTGACTTAAAAAATACTTGGACTCCAAACAATTTTAAATTGCAGTAAGCAAGTCTAATTGCAGCGGCACACACTTACTATTACTATCATGATTGTACTATAGACAGAAAATCTTTCAAATCGATTTTGGGCGCTTTTTAAACATTTGTTGTAATGTTTTTAGATAAGTTAAATATCTAAATTTATAAAATTTTTTATCGGAATGAATTAATTGATATTTAATAATTTATTCGGTAGGTTTATCTGGTATTGATATTGATTATATTGATATTGTTATTATTGAACGAAGCTAACTCTAGACATAGTTAATACTACTTCTTTTAAGAAAGGGACTTGGAGTATAAACGACCAAGTTTGCATAAATTTCTACCCAACCAAGAACTCAGGAGGCAAAGGTGGGTGCGTAAACTTTTGGTCTGCACTCTCCGATCCTGTATCACCCTGGATTCTTCTCGACGTATCTTTGTAAAAGTTATATATACCTTTTAGTCAATCTCTTGCTACTCCAAGTCCCCTAAAATATCTGATCTAAAGTTCGTGCTAGTTATATATATATGAAATATATTTTTGTCTGCTTCAATTGATACTAAATAAAATTGTTGTTTTCTTGAAATTGTTGTTTTCTTGAACAGTCCAATAGCCCATTTGTGAATATTGTTATTGTTCGCTTGGCAAAAATCCGTTTTTCAGCCACATTTCCGAAAATAAGCCTTTTAGGGTATATGTTGCTTCATAAGTTGTATATAAATGTGGCCATTATGTACATTTTAGTGTATCAGAATAGTCTCTACGACCTTCCTAGGCGGAAATGCCAAAAATCACGGAAATTTGAACTGCGTCAAGGCAAAAACCGTTTTTCGGCCATATTTCCGAAACGAAGCATTTTAAGGTATATGTTGCTTCATAAGTTGTATATAAATGTGGCTATTAGGCACATTTTGGTGTATCGGAATAGTCTTTAAGACCTTCCTGGACTGAAATACAAAACATCGAGTGACCTCAAAACCCTGAAAAAGGGTGTGGCCGAAAACGCCCTTATTGCATTTATTTCAAAAATGCAATAAAGTCCAAATGTTTTGAGAATCATCTAGAGAGGTGATAACCGTTGAGAAATCGCTTTTAACACGAAAAGCTAACGAGATAGCCTTTTAGAACGGTTGGGATCCGACTACTCTTTCAAGTCTCTGCCAAACTGTCCCACCATCAGCAAACTTTAATGTACCAATTTGCTGGAATCAGGTTAACTAAATATTAAATAGAAAATCTGCTAGTCCAGAAGAAAGAAACTGTACAGAAAGGAACTGTACAGAAAGAAACTGGGCAGGTCAGTAAACATTATATAAAACTGAAAATAAGGAACGGCACCAGCCACCAAGTTAATCAAAATTTTCGTCCAGTTTGATTACTGCACATTGTAGTGAATAATTCATCGTCAGTAAAGTCAGTAAACAGGGCTCATGCTGCCGAAAAGCTAATATATATATAACAAAATCAAGACTCTGCACACATCTTAGGGAAATAATACCACCTTAAAGAGGGAGGATCCTGGGCCCCGAAATCCACCACTTTTCTGTACTTTCAGAGGTACCAATGTGAAGGAAACTAGGGCTCATGCTGCCGCTAAGCTAAAGCAGTAGAGGAGATGATGGCTTCTCTGGGATCTAAGACATCCTGAAGCAGACCAACACTATATCCCAACGCACTGGTCTTGGGATGTCTGCCCCCAGTGCCTGCCTGGGTCAATAAAGCGCAATGAAAGACCGAAGATCGACTGTAAAGGGCTCTTATTACTAATTCGTTGTATAACGTCGTGACCCCCATTGTCGTTTCACTATAGTAGAGTTTGTACGATACAGGGGGAGCCGCACACTCGTGTTCGTTTCCTCCCCAGGAGGAAAATTCAAAACGCTGTAGATTTTGAATTAATGCGAAAAGTCTTATTTTAGGCCTTATAAAACTGCGCAGCTTTAACTTTGCAGATTGTTGTTCTCTGATTGGCTGAATCGTATCACGTGGTACGCGGTACAATTGCATTCTTGGAATATTTGAAGCGTGCAAATGCAATGAACTAGCGAGCGCGCGCGGAGTTCAACAAGCTGTGAAAAGGCGATCACCCTGTATTAATATCTTTAGCCGGTAAGGTCTGCTGGGAAGATTGGTTTAAGTAAAATTCAATTTAAGTAAAATACAATTTTTATTTTCCACAAAAGAATCAATACATATTGAATTATAAATATCCAATAATTTCATTAATAATCATTAAGAGTTGTTTTGTAAAATCAAAAACGAAAAGCCGTACGCTGAACGCGCGCGGCGTCTTATCGGCAGCTGCCTAACTTGTAGCCGCCGCGCTAATATCAAAGCCGCCTCGCGCGCCAATTGCTGTGGTGCATTCTCATTGACAATTAAACTTGGTAAAAGATATTTATATACAATTCTTAAATTAATTCAATAATCATGTAAATATGAATATCAAATATTCAACACTACTTTCCAAGAAAAATTAGAAAATTTTTGACTTAAAAAATGTTCGGTTAAAAAAACCAAAGGAACCTTAATTAAAAGGTTTACCCTATTTGGCCCCTTGCCCAGATTTCATGGGGGCGATGGCAAGTGCTACGAAGTAGCGCGCGCCGGGCCAGATCATTAACAATGGTCAACCCCCCCCCCCCCCACTTCCTACACCCCTGAGTCATCACCTTTACAGCCTTCCAGGCAGGGGTGGCCAGCAACTGTGACCCTCAGTGTCCAAATTGTCAAGTGTTAGACAACAACTACCACAGAATCTTCTCCTGTTCACTGTACAGCTGTTCCTACAGAGTTTGACAGACCAATTGCCATCGGTGAACTATCGTAAAAATGATTATTATAGTGCTCTCCCTGCCCTTCATCCCTGCCCTTCATGTCCTACATCTCCTTGTAATAATACTCCTCCTTCAGCCTCTTCTACTCACTCTAATGCCTCATCTTCTGGACGTCATTATCTTTAGTTTAGTTAGACACCCAGTCGAGTACTCTAGGCCCACTTAAGAAACTCTTCTTATAACAACCATACCCTCAAACAGTTTCGTTTACCAATCTAGTTGCCTTTGGAATACATTCCGTCAGATGTTGGCACTCAACGACCTTGAAATCACTCATGATGTATTCAAATCAAAGGTTAAAAAACTTATTCTCTCGTCCCAGGGTAAAGGTGACCAGAATACCTGGGCCCCTTTGGCAAACTTCCTGAATTCAGGCAGCTTGAACGACTAAATTTGAAAAGTAAAACTTCTTGTCTGAATGAACTATTTGAACCACAAGAAGCTGATCCACATGTCTCTGCTACTAAAATGTTTAATTAGCCCAATCACTCATCACTTAACAGTTTACTCTTCAAAGTGAGTTGTACAATCTAGGTTGTTTTAAGTAGCTGTTGATAGTGTAAAACAGGAGTGACCTGATCGTTTGCATAACTTCGATTTACAATTTGTACCATAATAAAACTAGCACTGCCATGGGGTTCAAAAAGGGTCATTGTAAGCCTCCAGCGTAATGGTCCTAAGTCTCTGCCTCATGCGGTGCCTGTCAGCATCAGCTAACAAAATAGCCAAACATAACGATCAAGCCACAAATTAGGTCCCTATAATGATTTAATATTGTTGAATGAATAGATTTGAATATAATATTTGTTTTATTCTCAGTCCACATGTCTTGCAAACTTAAAGCACGGTATTTGTAATGGTCCCTAATACTCGCCAAAGATGGTTCCTCTCTAGTCAATCGTAGGAGAAGAGAATTAGGTGGCTGCATTTTGTTTTGATTTTAGTAGGTCCTAGTATTTATCCCTATTGTCTTAAAGTTTTTAGAGCACTCACCTTAAATTATTTTAATGCAGTCACTCAACTACTACTACTACTACTACTACTATGTCGGAACTAAGTCAGATCTACGCCTGATAACCCCTCCATATATCCCTGTCCCGCATCAGGGTTCGCAGTTCCTCTTTAGAGTTTGTCCCAACTTCCTTCGGTAACATAGACAAGTAGCTTTGTCATGGTCGGCCTTGCTGTCACTCAAATAAGTTTTAAAACAGGACATAAAATAAATAAGTTTTATAACAGGACACTTCAACAAAGACACATACTCTGCCCACAATAAGGGGCCATAATTGTTTCAATTATGTAACTGTATAGAATTAGTATTATTATTATTAAATGTATGATGTATGCAAGCATATCTTAAACAAGATGTAGTGTATGCTGAAGTTAAGGCCAGTCGGATATCCTATAGCTACCTTTTTTAGCTTAGAGTGGTTGAATACCAGAAATAATTTACAGCAGGCTCTTACTCTCCTAGTCAGGAGTAAGACAGATATTCATCCAGAGGAGTGACCGATTAGCATAGTTCTGCATTCAATTTGTTTCTTACATTACCATTCAGTATAATCCAGGATGACTGAATCTGCATTTCTAACTGCAGTTGACCAAGGGGATACAGATGCTGTGAAGAACTTGCTGTCTTCAGATGCTGGTATTTTTAAATAAAACCAAAATCGAAACAAAAATTATATTTATATCTGTTTTTTGTAATTAATCGATCCCTATAATTAATCGATCCCTTGAATGAATTCTATGCCAGTGATCGACCGGCCCCTTACATTCTCTCTTCATTCTTGTGTAAAAGTGAACTAAATAATCATAAAACCTGTAAATAAAAGTGCAATTTGGCAGCTAAACAAATACAGCACTCATGAACCGCATTATTTTCCAACTGAATTGATTATTCTTATATCTCTACCTGACTGAAAGCAGCTAATAATTAACCACTGTTATATTATGCGCATATTTTATTTAATCAATCCTAAATATCCTCACTTATTCAAATTTAGACCATTGTTGATTGTGATTGTTAAGAATACCAGGATTGAAAAGATTATCTGGAGAGCGTAATGCTTTGCATCGAGCAGCTGGTTATGGACATCTTGGAATTGTGTGTGAACTGACTAAAGCTGGATTTAACCCACTGACTGCATCTCACACTGGACGAATACCTCTGCATGAAGCATGTCAAGGTATTTACACTTCATATAGCTTCTCTATAACTTTAGGAAAGATAATTAAAGATTGTGTGTCATTAACTGTCACCAAGATGTAACTAGGTCGAACGGAGAAATTATGTCTCACACAGTAAAAGTGAATTATGTTGATTCATTTCATTGCATTTTATTTTGTGAAATAATTTAATAGATGTTGAATAGGTTGTCTTTCATGCCTAATGAATGACTAATCAGCTTTTTGAAATATAACTCACCTTTCTGTATTATTTCTTCATTTTTTCCAGTCTGTCTTATTGATCAAAAAAGTGTATTTAGTTGATATAGTTCACTATAACTGGTGAATCACATTGAATATCAATGGTAACTGCTTACTAAACACATTGAATATCAATGGTAACTGCTCACTAAACAGGAGGGCACACCAGCGTAGTAGAGGAGCTGCTAAAATATGGAGGTGTTGAGATTGCAGATTGCAGGGGACAGTCTCCTCTGCATGTGGCTGCTTACCACGGAGAGTCTCAATGTGTCCAGTTATTGTGTGCGAATTCTGCTCAAATTGCTGCTAGGTAGGCAATGATCATTTTCACTTAGATATCAAAATCTTTATAGGTATAACAACGTTTGATAAGAAATTTAGCGGTAAGATAATTAAAAATATGTGGACCTTGTTGAGCTTTAACGATCAAGTCTTCCTCCTCTTAGCTTCAGCCACTCAGTGTATAATAGCATGTTTATATTTAGGGATGAAAATCATCGAACACCTGTACACTTGGCTGCTATAATGAACCAGAGTGAAACTATTCACTGGCTGCTGGAATATGGAGCTGATGTCGACCTCCCTGATATTCATGGTACTTCACCTTCAACATTTAGATTTGACTTGTACAGTAATGATTATAGATGTGAATTGTGGCTACTAACTGTGATGCAGTTTAGGTTTTAACACTAGATTGAGTGTTGGACAAGATCTAATTGCAACTTGTCATCTAACATAGGATAAACTACATCCAGATTAACGTTTGTATTTCTACAGGTCGGACTTGCAGTCACTATGCATCAACAGTAGCAGATAACAGCAGTTTGAAAACTTTGCTAGAGAGAGGGGTCGATCTACAGGTAATTAAATGTTAAATTAAAAACCAAGATTTTACAGCGAATAAATAATTAAAAAACATCTTCGCTTAAATTCCATTCAAATCCAGCTCAGCATTTTTTTTTCTATTTTGTTTTTGAGAGATTTCCAGAATCTCCACGTATATCAGCTGTGAATTTAATCAATCATATTCGATTCGTTAAAACGTAATACAAACAACCCAAACATAAAATTAATGAGCATAAAATTCTCACACAATACAGTTAAACCCTAATTTACCGTGCTCAAGTAGCAACTCCTCCCTTCTACTAGAGTACCGTGGGGTTTTGAGAGAAAATAAACGTGTAAGCCCTATGTAGATGGCCACAGTAAATCGGGGTTTGCAGTAAATCGGAGTTTTGTACATTCAACTGACATAAAATGTTATAATACTTTCAAAGAGAAATTTTTGATAAATTGAGTTTGTTTGCTCTTCATTTAATAAGCAGGGGAAAAATTTCTTGTTCAATATGCTAATATGATTATTAATATGAAATAGTTTAGCAGTAAATGTTAAATTAAACATGTACCGTAACAGAATCTTGAGTCACAAGTTTGATGTCATTTCTTTGTCTATCTCGCGATAACTCAAAACATTCATTTAAACAAAAGATAAATTATCGAATTCTGTCAAACAAGTATGGACTCTTGCCTTCTCAAAGCATCCACACTGTTTTCTTTGCCAGTGGAAAGTGGACTATTGCCTTTAGGGGAGAAGATGGTGCTGATAGTGTTGTTTCTACTGCTGAGTTGTGATTTGTACAGTCCTATTTTCCTGCTGGAAGCAATGTTAGCTCCATCCGTATGCAGTTCTTCCCAGGAACAAGTGAGGACTTTCCAACAGAACTTCCTGAGACCCTCCTTCCTGCAGAAGTATATAACCACGTTGGTGGTGGAGTTGAGAGCCACAGCATGGTTTCCTATAAGAGTGTAGATGAAGTTGACCACCGGAACTGGCAGGCCAAATTGCTGGATCTGGAATCTGAAATCTGATAGAACTGTGATTGATTCTAGAATGCAGACTATAATCAGGGGTGCATTGAAAAAAATGTAAGCTAGTGATAGATAAATTATTGTTTTTGTGGCTTCACTCTTCAGTTGGGACCCTGTGGCCGGTGCTGAACTTTCTTCTCTGGTTCAGGAGACAGATAGTGATGACGCAGCTGATCAGTATAGGAAATGCAGGGATGACATACTCCAAGGTGACGAATGAGAAGTGAAGCACTTTGAACTCCGTTGAGTTGAGGTTAACTACATCTGTGAGGAGCCAGGTACACATGGAGAGCCTGCGCGCGTACCAGAAGGACTTGCCAGCAATGATGGGCAGCATCTGTTGTCCCAGCACTACCATCAGGTAGATCCCTATTGGGATGAGAATACTTTTCCTCTTTATCTTGTAGAAGGGGTACACTAAAGAAACAGTTCTGCTGATGCTCAGAACTGCCACCAGGAAAATGGAGAAACGGGTACACGCTTGCCAGGCAAACGCCCAGGACACACAGAACCATTCGTACTGGAACATCAGGGCACTGTTGTGGAACTCTGATAACCCTGTAAGGAATGTGAGTTTACGGATTGGTTACTTACCTTACTCGGGAATATTATAGCGGGTTAATTTATGACTGGGAAAATTAATGACCGGGAAAAATATGGCGGAATGTTCCAAAACCCACCAAGCATCAAAATGTATTACTATTAGTTTACCTTACTCGGGAACATTATAGCGGGTTAATTTATGACTGGGAAAATTAATGACCGGGAAAAATATGGCGGAATTTTCCAAAACCCACCACTAAGGTACTAATCTTATGATCATTGATACAAATTTGAGGAATAATCTGATTAAGTCGTTGAATGATATTGACTATTGAGTCTCAGTTGATGATTCTGTCAAAAAATGTCTTATTTTTTCTGAATACACTCAATGATGACAATTTTCTAATGAAGGTACATCACGTACATCGACATTTTTACGTCATACTCATATTCTCAAATTATTTGTTAAACAGTAAATAGTGAACTTGAAAGCATTAAAATAATTTGTTAATACTTTCAATTAAAATACTTTTTTAATACTTTCAACACTACTATATAACAATTAATTTGATTTATTTTATTGTTTGTACGTGATTTATGTTCATTTTTATCTCTGAGTCTAATCAGAAAAAATCAGAAATTTTCTTGAAAAAATGAAAGGAATTTTCTTTATTAAACAACTAACCATTGAAGAGGAAGAGGAAAGTAATGATGCTGTCGACCACGCTAATCATCATATACTGAATGGAGCTAATGTTCTTCTCCTTGCTGAGGAAGTACCCAAACGTCATCATACTTCCTGGCATCCCTAAAACAAACGAGCTTTAGAAACAACAATAATCTGGCAAGTAAAGGCCTAATGTGATCGGCGGCGTGAAAGCGTGACTCGTAGTCGTGAGAATAGAATTAATCAAATATTTACCGATGTAATTATAGTGCTGAATAAAATTTAACTTTATCTATTTAGCTATTTAATAATAAAAGAAATCTCATAAACTGTTTTGAATGTAATTCACATTTAAAATAATGCAATTTGCGTAAAATTGATTGATTCAAAGCAGCATGCTGCTTGAAGTCTTCCACAAGGGTGGTGTGGCAAAGACATTGGTCTATATCAATAGTTCGATGTTGAACGCAATCTATGAAGGTATAAATTGATAAGAAATCCCAAACTTTGATGTATCAGTATAGACTCACCCACTGCGAAGCCAAACAAAGCAATGGTTCCAAATGTGTACTCACCCACTGCGAAGCCGAACAAAGCAATGGTTCCAAATGTGTACTCACCCACTGCGAAGCCAAACAAAGCAATGGTTCCAAATGTGTAGTCTGAGTAACTCTGTGTAAGTGCTTCTGTTGCATAGTGGAAACTGTTGTTACTTTTCGTCATTATTGCCTATTAGATAATTGATGATTATTGATTGAATCACTAGTTCATGTGATTGATGATAAATAAAGATTTACCGGTCTTTGTTCTTCACACTACGTTATCCTTAAAAACGAAGACTCAAAGACTGTGTAAAACTGCACGTGCATTTGAAAACAACAGCATGCGCATCATCTGATGAGAAGCTTTTAGAAATGGTGATTAAATCAGTTTCATATATATATATATATATACACACACTTTAGCGGTTACACCATCGAAATAACGGTTCGATAAAACTTGTCTTTCTCCTGGGCAGCTTTCACAATTTAACTGCTTACTCGCATGTTCAGCTCAACTATTGGTTAAAATGGGATTTAACCGCACCTATAAAATATATAGAGAAACTTTCAATTATAGTGGGAGGTGATTTATAGACTAAATGGTAACGGCACCATCTTTAAAACGATTTATTAAAATACTAGACTTGTCGTCGACTCTTGCATGTTTTCAATAGTTTGTCTCAGGTGAGGCTGGTGCCTGAACGGTTTACTGGTCAAATTTTAATCAACTAAATTAATCAAATCTTGCCAAGTATTGGAATATATTTAATCAAAAGCTGACAGTTAATCCTGGGTAGTTGAGCGAACGTCTCAACTTGAAGCAGTGATGTAATTCTCTCAAACGTGAATTTATATTAACATACGCACGAACTAGGTTAGCAGGAGGTGTGCTCATAAGCAGTAAATTCTAAATTATGACTTATTCATTCTTTAAATCGTCATAACGACCAATTTAAAATGAAATTTTCAATTAATAAAGTAATCAAAAAGGAGATAACTCGACCCATTAATATGAGCTGCGAAACAAAATTCACCCAGTTAAGTCAGTTTGTACGCAATTCTGGAACCGTGATCGTAGATTATAATTAGATGCTCCCTGGATCGCCAAAATTGTTAATATCATTAAACCAGTAAACCGTTATAATTGGTACAGAATGATCTTTTCTAAACACTTGAAGAGAAAGAGACATCCTGAATTACTGCATTAGACAACTCCATAAAACCATCCTCTTTCAAGAATCGGTTCCAAAAAGTGTAAGTAGATGAATATGATATTGTTGACTTTTATATTTTATATAATACTAGTGTAATACGTGGCTACGGCCGGGACTTCGTCTTCACTATCTCAGTTGACTTGCAAAAGTATAAACAGTGCAAAATTTAAAATTGTGCAAAAGTACAAACTCGCTCAGTCGAAACCAACCGCATTAGAGTAAATTTAATTCTGAGCGCACATCACGTAATACGTATAATTATAGGGCCTACCATCTGATTTGATTTGATTTGAAACTTTTACAAAATAGCAAATATACAAATGTACAGCAAATCGAACAAACATATAAAATGGGCCGAAATGTATAAATGCTATAAAGCGTGGGTCAGTGAAACAAGTACAGAGGACAACTTTCAAAACAGGAGTTTTATGGCCGCCCAAAGTCTCAATAACATCACCTCCACCTAGTAATAAAATTATGAAATATGAAAAGTGTGAAACAATCAAATAATAAAATATTCAAATTATATAGTTGTCTCTCAAATACAGATAACGTCTGAAAATTCTTAAAATACTCATCACTCCTTCATATACTGATCAGTGTCCGAGAGACATGAATAACTCATGATGACTTCTTATCACGGCTACATACCTTCCCGTACCGGATGTAGTGGTCGAGATGAGTCTGTTCAGCCCTTTTCTTCTTCAGGTCAGTGACCAGATGCTTCCTTGTTGCTCGTTCTTCGCTGGATCTGTCTGGACATATCCATACATCTTTGTGCGTCTCCCTCAGTCTCCCTGTTTTCATCAGAATCTGATGAACCGCTGTTGAGCTTGGGACGGTGATCTTGACTGGTCGGATAGCCGTACTACCTGGCCTCTTCCAACCGACTCTAGTCGCTTCGAAGCGAGGTTTCTCCCCGATCTCCTCCAAAACTGCGGTAACTAGCGCTGGAAGCTGTTCTTCCTCCTCTTCTTTCAGCCCAAACACGATCAGGTTCTTGCTCCTGTCCTCCTCTGCAGCCA